TGCATAGCCAGCTGCTGTTGCTGTTGCTGCATTTGCTGTTTCACATCCGGCTGTTGTTGCTGCTGTTGCTGTGACATAGCCGTCTGCTGTTGCTGTTGCTGTTGCTTTTGCTGCGGCATAGCCGGCTGCTCCTGCTGCTGCTGTTGCCGCTGCTGCGGCTGCTGCTGCGGCTGCTGCTGCTGCCGTTCCCGTGACTGCCAGTGCTGCTGCTCCCTGGCTTGTGCTGCTTGTCCAGGGCCCCGTTGGGCTGCGACAATGAATGCTCTATCTGTTAATCCCGGTTCTCTCCTCAAAGCCTGGCTCACAAACACTAAATCCTAGAAGCTCAGCCGTAAACCCTCGAGAAGGAGGCGGCTGACACCCCAAACGCCTTTTGCAGCTACACCGCAAGCCCCAACCCCAAACTTCGGCTGTAAAACCGCACGTAGGACGCTCCCGTCGGAGGGTTCTTGCACAAGCAACAATGGTAACAGCGACTGCACCAGCAAAGACTGCAGTGAGGGATAATCAACTCGTGTGGACGAGAAAGCCGCTGGGTTTGAACCCTAGCCCCAAACCTCTGGACACTAAACCTCAAACCCTACAGCCTAGAACTAAACCCTCAGAACAAGCAGCAAAGCTGCGGACCGTCAAAGAAGATGTCAGTCAGGCCCGCATCCAACAAGAAAGCCAAGTTACTTTGCGACGCCTGCACCGCCCAGCCAAAGCAAAGAAACCAGAGATTCTAGAGCCTCCACTCGCAAGCCCTCAAACCCTATGTATGACATGCAGTGGCCCAATAGGCTACTCTGCAGGTTTAGTAAGAATGCCGCAAAGGCGTTGCCACCAGATCCTAAAGCTGCCACTGAAAAACCCCTCAAGCTGTGGCTGCTGTTCCTGCTGCTATGCAGCAGCAGGTACTGCTGCTGCTGCTGCAGGAGCGATTCTACCTCGTGGCCAGCCTCTGCAAGAAGGAAGTTGAAAGCAGCTTCATCGAAGGCGTTTTGCTCGTAAGCCGAGTGAGCCTGCAAAAAAAACGCAAACCTGAACCCCTGAACCCTATATCTCCAAGCCTAAAATGCGGACCAAAACGTCTGCGCCTCAAGACCCCAGCCATACCCTGCAATGGGAAGTTTAAGGGCTGTTAATCCCTCGCCCAAACGGAAGTCCGCGGCACAGTTTCCCGCAAGTATTTCGGGAGTTAGCGACACCCAAATATATATATATATATATATATATATATATATATATACACGCAATATATACCATACATTTCCACCTCAAAACATAAGTCGTTAGTTCTAAAGCCTGACTCGCCGTGCAATCCACCTACCCGCTGCAGCGCATGATAAGAGTAAGGGGCTCTTTCAATGGGGAGTTACAGCAGCACCACAGCCAAGGGACAGTCCCCCACAGCCCCCAAGCCCGGAAGATGCATCGTCCCCAAGGCATACGCAGCGTCTGAAAGTAGAAGCTCGGTGCAGAACCCCCAAGAGATACTGCGCGTCTGCAATGCCCCCTCTGGCTGAAATCCACACCAGCTACAGCGCCCCCTGTAAGCTGTGGGCGGGCTGAGGCGGCCTCCCGAGGAAATGAAACACGGAGAGCTCATACTGAGCCCTGGGGGGCAAACGTCAAATCCAAGGCTTTAAACCCTAAGTTGAATCCATCAGCAACGCAATCGCCGGTCAGCAAGAGCAGGAAGGGCCCGCGGCAGAGGCGCCCAGTTGTTGGCCTCGAAAGTCTAAGCCCTGAAACCCTAGAGCCTTCGAGCACGGCAGACACCGCGCGCCCACATTGGGGAAGAAAGTAACAGCACCAAGCATGGTTTAGAGTTCGGAGTTAACTCGCCTGGGGTCGGTGTCTGCACATGCAGCGAGCTTGTTATTCTGCAGATTACCCTTGAAATAACCTAAAAATATAAAAAACTGGCCCCTTTCGTCTTATCTGAGTCCCATTTTTCAGATAATAAGAGTAATAATCATAGATCTCATTGGCCCAGACCTGGACCTAGTTGGTCGGTGCCTAGGCGGCAGTGCCAGCCTCACAGCCCCAAACCTTGGTTTGTTGCCGAGCACTCTTATCCTGATAGCCTTATTTTCTATCCAAAGTGACTTGATTTATTTCTACTATGATATTATTTGCTATCATTCTGCCGGATAGGCCAATAGAGGTCGAACTTGAGCACCGTTGTAGTGCTTGCTCACTACGGGGGCCCTCAGGCGCTCCGCGCAGCCCTAAACCCTAAACACTAAAGCCTAAGCCGTACACTCTAAATCCTAAGGTGGACAATCTAGGGATTGTTTTGTGTGCTTTCCCCCCGTGTGGTTGTCTAGGCGAGGACTTATCGCATTCGCCTCCCTGGTTCCTGCGTTTGTTTGTGCCGCCTTCGTTTTAGGATAGTTTGTACGTGGCTTTTGTTTGTTGGTCTATGCAGTTGGTACCTCCAAGTGTCTGTACAGCTTTGGATGCAGCAGGCCAGATATATCCTTGCTGCAGGATGTATCTCGTCAAATACCCAAACTAAACGCAAGTAGAAAGGATAGCGATTGAGGTCTCCCCGTCTCCGCCGAGCGCTTCTGTGGTTGGAGCACCTCCTATCATGGGGGGCCTCCTTGCGCTCACGGGGATGTCGCCAGAGGGTGCTTTGGGGGGCCGTTGCCTGCTGGTGCTTTTGTTGCTATTGCTCTCCCTCCCCAACTGCATCTTGTGCCTCCAAGAGCTTCAGGACGCACCCGTCGGCGCAGCTCTTGATGCAGCGGAGGACGTTATAATAAGGGCCACCTCAGGAGTCGAAACACAGCCAAGAGTAGTTGTTCCACCTTCACCTGCCCCTGCTGCTGCAACGGCTACCCCGTCAGTCTCTGAGCCAACAGCAAGCGCGCAGAAAAACACCAACAACGTTAGCAGCAGCACCAACAGCAACAAAAACAAAAACAGCAGCAAAAACAGCAGCAGGAGGAACAACAGCAACAGCAGCAACACCAGAGATAGGTTCGCTGATGCAGCCCCTCCTTTGGGATTTCGAGAGCCGCTGTCTTTGCTGCCGCAGAAGTCGGAAGCAGTATTCAAAAAGCTCGCTGCTTGTGCAGACACTGACCCCAGGCGAGTCAACGCTGAACTCTGAACCATTCTCCTTAGCACTATTTCCTTCCCCGATGTGGGCTCGCGGTTTCTGCCGTGCTCGAAGATTGTAGGGTTTGGGGTTCAGGGTTTAGAGGCCAGCAACTAGGCGTCTGTGATGCATGCCCTTCGTGGGCTTGTTGGGCGGGGCGTACGCTGCTGATGGGTTCGACTGGGGTTTAAAGCCTTGGATTTGAGCGTTGCGCCGCAGATGCCAGTACGAGCTGTCCGTGTTTTATTTTCTCGGGAGGCCGCCGCTTCCCGCCCGCAGCTTGCAGGCGGCGCTGCAGCTGCTGTGGATTTCAGCCCGAGGGGGCAGTGCAGACGCACAGTATCTCTTGGGAGTTCTCCACCAGAACCTCTACTTGCTCCCTAAGGAACCGCCACTTATAGGTGACCTAAAACCCTACGGCCTGAGCCCTCCGCCGATGTGCAGCCGCTCGAAACACCCTTCCCTCCAAACCCTTACGCAGAAACCCGTACCCCACACCTCTCCGCATTAGGGCATATGGTCAGTTTTTTATGGTTTAGGGTTTGGGGCTTTGGTTTTGGGTGGGCGTGCAGAGTTGGACTCTCCCTTGCGGGTGGTTGTGGGGCGCAACTATGAGCTTTCTTTCTTTGCTAAGGACCAGCCGATCCCAGAGCCTTGGGGTCCTCTGAAGGCATTGAAAGCATTTGAACGTCATCTGCGCTCGACAGGAGATGCGGATGGGTTTGGATCAACGCTTTGGCAGAAACTTCAAAGCCATTTCTCCTGGGCCCTCCGAGGGGGTCCCTGGGCACGGGGGTCCTCCGAGGAGCCTGACGGGGATTCTCCCTCTGCAGCAGAAACGGCGGGTCGGGCCCTCCCCCAAGAAGAAGGGACCCCCAAGACGGTGGCGCAGGCGATGCAGCTGCTGCTGTCCGCTCCGGACTTCGCCTTTAACCCCCCACTGCCCTTGGTGTATCTACACGCTGCAGCTACTGCGCTGCATCCGGCTGCTGCTGCTGCTGTTGCTTGGAAGCAGCAGTTCGCCGCCCTCGATGGGTCTGTGGGGCAGCAGCAGCAGGCGTGTGCTGCTGCTGCCAACAACTACCTCCCAGTTGCTAAGGCCACAGCTGGGGTAAGCCCATAACCTGAAACGCCAAGCCGTAAACCGTAGCGCGGCGTTGGCCAACAAGCTCCTTTCTCAACGCCACCTCTGCGCCCCAATGCTCAGGCTCATCCATTCACACTCCCGGATTCAGTGGCTCTAGAATAGGCTTCAGGGCTTCAGGGCCTCGGTATTAGGGAGATTTGATGGATGCATATGTGTGCCTTGGAGTGCTAAGGGTTTGGGATTTGGGGTTTAGGGTTTGGTGTTCGGGGTTTTGTTTGGCGCAGCTCTATGCCTCAGGGATCCCGCAAGCGATCGAAGTGCTGCGCCTTGCAACGGGGACTTCGCCGCTTCAAGGGTCGGAGATTCAACGGCTCAGTACTGACCCGGAGCAGCTCGCGATGCTGCTGCATGAAGCGGAGGAAGGCAACCTGGCTGTAATCATTAATCCTAAATGCGCTAAATTTCTTCACAAGGCCGAGACTTGAAACCGTTGATGCGACAACAGCAGCAGCCCACGACACGCCACACGACACAGCAGGGATAGAAGTGACTGCAGACATTAATACGGCGGTTGAGGGCGCAGGTCTTAAGGATTAAGGGCTTAGAGCTTTGCGTATGCTCAGGTTCATGCGGCACTGGGCCGGAAGTATCTCTTTGGGGTGGACGGATTTCCCCAGGACTTCGCGAAAGCCAGATACCACCTTCTTGCGGCTAGCAAGAGTTGGAAGTGAGGCTTTAGGGTTTAGAATTTAGGATTTAGCGTTGAGGGCTGTGGGCTTGGGGGGGGGTGAGGGTTCGATGCGCAGTTTTCAGCACCGCTGAAAACTGAGCTACGGGATCATTCCAAGGGCTGCAGCTGTTTGAGTGCCCCCTTGAGCAGCAGCTGCAGTAGCAGCAGAACCACCACAACCAACACCTCAACACGATTACCAGAAGCATCAACAGCAGCAGCAGCAGCTGATCCAACACGGGCGGCAGCAGCAGCGGTGCCCACTGTAGGAGGAGGAACAAGGAGGAGGACGAGCAGTAGCAGCGACAGCTGCGGTGGGTGCTGCGACTATGGGTGTGTTTTTAGGGGGGAGTCAAAAGGCCTCTTGGGCTATATGTACGCCTTGGGATTAGGCGTTGAGCAGGATTTGAACGAAGCAGCGGAATGGTTCTTTAGAGGCGCAACAGAAAACGAAGACCCCATAGGTACACTCTGATCTGCGGGGTTAGGGCGTATGGTATAGGGTGTGGTCTCAGCAGCAACGGGTTGGTGCAGTTGAGGGCTTAGGGTATTGTATTCAGGGATTCAGGCTTTCGGTTGGGTTTGGGGCGTCTGCGCAGCGTACAACGGAGTGGGGCTTGTTTATTTCTTCGGAACTCCGCTAATAGAGGCCTCACCTGCGATGGCCTTTGAAATGTTTAACAGAAGTGCAACTTTAAATTCTCCTGATGGACAGCTAAACTTGGCTTCTCTCTACCTCACAGGAACAGGTGCAGCCGAAACCCTGGACACTAAACCCTGGACCCTAGGCTTTAGCTTGTACAGAGCCTGGGATTTCGTTCATGGTAGGGTTCAGGGACGGGCTGAGTCTCAGACCTACTTGGGGAAGCCATTCTATGGGTTGAGGAACATTTAGGGTTAAGGGATTTTGCTTTGGGGTCTAGGTGTGTCGAAGTCCTTTGTGGAGGCGTTGAAGTGGCTGACGAAGGCCGTACGCGGAGGCAGCACAGGCGCTGCGTATGCTTTGGGAACGATGCATCTTTCGGGCTTGGGGGCTGTGAGGGACTGTCCCTTGGCTGTGGGGCTGCTGAAGCTCGCTACTGAAAGAGCCCCTTACTTTGCTCATGCGCTGCAGCGGGTAGGTGGACTGCACGCCGAGCCAGGTGTTAGGGCTAAGGGCTTACATTTTGAGGTGGAAGTGTAAAGTGTATATATATATATATATATATATGTGTGCGTGTGTGTGTGTGTATACATATTATATTTCGGTGTGTGATTGAGGGCTTATACTTGCGGGAAACTGTGCCGCGGACTTCCGTTTGGGCCTGCGAGTTGTTAAGGGCCTCAGTTCAGGTTCTGGCTAGGGTTTGATGCGCAGACGTCTTGGCCCGCATTTTAGGCTTGAAGATATAGGGTTCAGTGTTTCAGGTTTGCGTTTTTTTTGCAGGCTCACTCGGCTTACGAGCAGAACGCTTTCGATGAAGCTGCTTTCAACTTCCTTCTTCTTGCAGAGGCTGGCCACGAGGTAGAATCGCTCCAGCAGCAGCAGCAGTACCTGCTGCTGCATAGCAGCAGGAACAGCAGCCACAGCTTGAGGGGTTTTTCAGTGGCAGCTTTAGGATCTGGTGGCAACGCCTTTGCGGCATTCCTACTAAACTTGCAGAGTAGCCTATTGGGCCACTGCATGTCATACATAGGGTTTGAGGGCTTACGAGTGGAGGCTCTAGAATCTCTGATTTCTTTGCTTTGGCTGGGCGGTGCAGGCGTCGCAAAGTAACTTGGCTTTCTTGTTGGATGCGGGCCTGACTGACATCTTCTTTGACGGTCCGCAGCTTTGCTGCTTGTTCTGAGGGTTTAGTTCTAGGCTGTAGGGTTTGAGGTTTAGTGTCCAGAGGTTTGGGGCTAGGGTTCAAACCCAGCGGCTTTCTCGTCCACACGAGTTGATTATCCCTCACTGCAGTCTTTGCTGGTGCAGTCGCTGTTGCTACTGCTGCTTTTGCAGGGACCCTCCGACGGAAGCGTTTGCATGCGCAGAGGTTTTACGAAATGGCAGCAGCTCAGGGGGCTCTGTCTGCTCAACTCCGACTAGGTACGGCCCCTCCGTTGGTTGCTGCTGCTGTTTCTGCTGTTGTCGGTCTCTGGTCTCCCTTGCTGCTTCGTTCGACATGGCATTTGCTTCTTCATCATCGAATTATGCGGCTTTGCACCCTCAACGTGGCCGCTGCACTTCGCAGCTGCTTGCCAGGGGTTTAGGTGTTAGGGACTAAGTTTTGGCTCCGTGCGTGTTAGGGGATTTTGCATACTATGGCTACGGTGTTCGGCGCCGCAGTTCCAGCACGAAGTTCTCAAGGGACTTTGTCGATGAAAAGGGTGAGCTTTTCTTTAACCAGGCAAAAGTAGATGAATTCTGGCTCACTATGGCAGGGGCTTTGAACGCTTGTTGCTGCGGAGGACGGCAGTGGGGAAAGATTGGCCAAAGTGTTTTCTTCCAGGGTGGCGAGATAGAGGTTGTGAATCAGATTCGTGGTTGTAGAGCTTAGGGCCTATGGTTTAAAATTTGGGTTTGGCGTTCTCCTTTTCAGGCGCTTCTTTCGAGGGTTGGCTGTCTCAGCCAAAGCTATGGTTAGAAGAAGGGGTGAAAGACTTTGCCGAAGCGGCAGGTAAGAAGGGTTCAGAGTTTATGCTTTGGGGTCGTGCCGCTTCGGCTCGTGTCGGTATAGACCTGACAGTTTGGGGCTTGGGGTGAAGCTCTCAGGGGTTCGGGTTTAGGGTTTGTAGTTTATGGTTTCGCTTGTTGCGCAGCGTTCTACCGCAAAGTGGCGGATTCCGCTAGTTGGGGCCCTGCGCTGGCGGCTAAGGTATGGTGTGTTGTGAGCTCGTCGACTACGCCCACCTAGCTCAATGACAAGCTAGCTGAAGCAGCACTGGAAGCAGGATCGACATCTTTCTTGCTCTGTGCGTGTTCTTTAGGCTAGGTATAACCTGGGGGCAATGCATCTCTTCGGCATAGGAGTGCCGCAGGTAGGCTCTGCTGCCCAGGCCAAAAGCACTAGCCCAAAACCCAAATGCTGTTCACAGCCTTAAAACCTAAATCCCACCGTTTAGGCTTTCTGTACGGGTTTGACTAATTCTGGGCTTTTACACTGCAGCTGGGAGTCTACGCATGAGCAAGCGGGCTTAGGGTTCAGCTTTCTCGCTTCACGGGTTTGCAGCGAAAGTTGTGTTGTTGTGTCTGTAGGACTTGTATTTGGCTAATCATCATTTCAAAAGGCAAGCGTTTTCCGCCTGCTGACGCTAAATGAACGGCTGTGTCGAGGGTTTAGGGTTGACAATTTAGGCTGGAGGGTTTAGTGCTTGTCTCTGCAGAAGCCTTGAAGCCGACGAGCATGCACCCACTGCTCCGGTGTATGCGGGGCTTGCGGCGGTTTATTTGATCGATTTGCTGGAGAGAGTGGGGCCAGCAGAGGTGACGAATAAACTCACTTTTTAATACGGTTACTTTTTAAGCGTTCAGCGCTTTTTGTAGCAGTTGCTTTGTTCAGGAAACCTTCTGGAAAGGCCTTTGCTTTTCATTTGTTTGCCAAGGCAAGAAGTGCACCCTGCCCGCCTGTCAACTAAGATTAGGGCTGGGTTCGGATTCTAGGTTTGCGCTGCAGGTGCTGCAATCCTTGCTCCTCGAGCCCCGAGTGTTGTTTTTAATCCTTAATATTGTCGCTATGGTGGTGCTGCTCGTCCTACGCGCGGTTTTACAGGTGAAGTTTGGGGTTGGGGCTTGCGATGTAGCTGCAAAAGGCGTTTGGGGTGTCAGCCGCCTCCTTCTCGAGGGTTCACGGCTGAGCTTCTAGGATTTAGTGTTTGTGAGCCAGGCTTTGAGGAGAGAACGGGGATTAACAGATAGAGCATTCATTGTCGCAGCCCAACGGGGCCCTGGACAAGCAGCACAAGCCAGGGAGCAGCAGCACTGGCAGTCACGGGAACGGCAGCAGCAGCAGCCGCAGCAGCAGCCGCAGCAGCGGCAACAGCAGCAGCAGGAGCAGCCGGCTATGCCGCAGCAAAAGCAACAGCAACAGCAACAGCAGACGGCTATGTCACAGCAACAGCAGCAACAACAGCCGGATGTGAAACAGCAAATGCAGCAACAGCAACAGCAGCTGGCTATGCAACAACAAACCCTGCAGCCGCCGGTGCAGAACAGCGCTTCTGGGCCCCATGGTGATGCTCAGCAGCAAGCAGAGCAGTTGATACAAGGCCAGTTTAGGGCTACAGAAAGCAGCAACAAGGGAAAGGAAGCAGAGGGGTCTCCCACGTTCGGCGCTGCAGCTCTGCCAAGCAGCAGCCATGGAGTCAGCAGCAGCAACATCACGGGCAGCAACGGTTCGTCAGGGGCTGTGAATTCCCCTCGGGACGCTGACAGGTCCGTCGTGAACGGCATTGGGGGCAACAGCAGCAGCAAGGGGAACAGCGACAGCAACAGCGGCAGCAACAGCAACAGCGGCAGCATCGATAGCAGCAGTAGCAGCAGCTGCAGCAGCGATAGCAGCAACAGCAACAGCAGCAGCAGCAGCAGCC